AAGATGTTATTTTAATACGCACCTTGCTTTAATTCTTTCTTCGGAAATCCAACATAGAGAACTTCCTCTTTCCCATCAGGGGTACATTCGGTTAGTCCTTGAACAAAATTTTGTCTGATTGCAATAATATAATTGCACATTTTGTGTACCAATCCCTTAATGCTGTTTTCATCCAGGTCCTAAAAAGATCAAAATAATTTTTTTTTTATATTTATAATTGAGCAATGGTAAATGGTACTCTATCAAACACTTTTTCCAAATTAAAAACCCCTCATGTAGGGGGAAAATAAATGATTGATAATGCATTTTTGTAATAAAMTTTATCAATTTTTTATTTAGKTCTATATTTATAATTAGTATAATCAATTACATATGCATAAAAGTATTTGAAATGCAGCCTTTCAACGAATTACTATGTAATATACAGTAGACACCTGCAATTAAGAACCTCTTGAAAGAAATTTCCCATTGTCAGGTGTTMAGAAAAAAAGGTACTTAATTACAGGACGGTGTTTACTGGGTTTCATTACAATGCTAAAYTGTCTTGTAGCAAACCTTTTTACCTTTACATTATTTATCAAGACAAGATCTGCCCCTCCAAATTTCTCATATTCAAACAATGAGGAAGAGATTCTTGATTCCTTTGCCACAATGGCATTATACCAAATTCCATCACCTGCTTGTATCATATTGGTTTCAACTGCATTTGAATTTCCTAGTTATATAAAAAAAAACAAGAATGCATTTACCAAATAATTCCTGTGTTATATCTCTACAGTAGCTCATGTCAGACTTGTGCTTTTTTAGAATGCTTTTTGCATTTATGATTATACTTTCAAAATTTGAATACTTTGACCTATTGAATTTGTATGCTGTTATGTACACAAATACATGAAAACATAAGGAAGAGGTGAAGTAAATTAAACAAAAAATTCATACCACTTTCAGTTGATGAGCTACACCGTTGTACAAAATCAGTGAAATGTTGAGGCGCCTTTCCACCTTTTACCTCTTTGGAATATGGAATATGTTAGCTTTTCAGTTGAACTCCAAAGGGGAAATCTGTTAATAAACTCACTGTTAATCTAATTGTTATGCAGATATAATACAATACAATAATATATTGCATAAATTTGTAAGAGCATTGGACAACCTTCATCAAGCAGTTCAGCATTGACTTTATAAGTGTAAAAAAGAAAGAAAATATAATTGTCAAATCTAGCAGCATTCAATTATTGTGTCTAAAAGCATTTATTGTTTTTAAAAGCATGTATTGACAGTGTTTACAACTAACATGGTCCATTTCAAATAATTATACCTTTGCTTGACTTCTTCCCATGTTTTCATTCCTGCTAGCTTCACAAATTCAGCTTTGATTATCCCAATAGCCTTCAATTCCTCTGCTTTTGTCGTCATTTCTGCTAGACTCAAATTGCCCTGTCTTACTTCTGTTAGAAGATCTACAATACTTTCGTGTGGCAGCCCTCTGATACATTTGAACCTAGAAGCATTAAGGGTTGGTTTCTGCTTCACCCCATCAATTGCAAGCCTATTTCGCTTTGTTGTTGGCACTTGACCCTTTAGTTTGAAGGTCTCATAGGCTGTTACAACGTCAAGCCACATGTTGAACACATCTTCCCTCAGTGAGCTCATGAAAATAAACTCCATTTTGTCCTTATAAAAAAATCATCTAAATGTTAGCAATAAAGTCATTTAATAGTTTAGAGAGAAAGAAGATTTGTACTTGCATTCTTTTAAACAAAAAGTTAAGTTCAGCAATAGCTAGACCACCATATAATATAATTGGGAATGGAGGTTAGTGGTCATGCAAATGATGATGTGAAATTTTGTGTAGCTCAGTTATTATTTTACATCTAATACAGAATCATCTGCATCACTAAAAGAAAACTCACTTTACTTGAATCGCCATTTTCCATGCATAGTTTGACCTGTACATTTACATAATTATTTGTATCAGAGGTTAAAAAGAAATAAGAATCAATGGCAGAATCTGAGCTACCATGAGAATAATGTATAGAATATTCATGAAATTATAGATATTCAAATACAGCAAAGTAAACACCATGGTAGCAATGGGCTTGACATAAAAAATTCTGTAAGCGGGCGTCACTTTTGCTTTGTTGGAGCATTAGTCTCAGCTCTGACAAATTTTTAGAAAGAGATATAATTATTAACTCATAGTAACCTTATCCTGATCTGTCATGAAATGACAATAGTGCAGTTGTTTTGGGCATTTCTAACAATAATCAGTTAAACAGAACATTTTCACAAAAATCTGAGCAAAGATGTGAGGATCAAAACAATCAGCAAAGTGTCCAAAGTTTTCTACCAAAGGCTTAAAATTATTATATAATAATAATCACGTAAAAATTGGGGCTTTTGCTTACCAGTGTAGAGGAGTACATTCACCCATTTATACTGCTCCTCTTTTGTTTCTCGATATGGTTCTTGCATGGCAACTCGACGATGGTTTCCCCCTATAACTTCAAGCTGGTATGATTCCAACCGCTCATGAGCATATTCCCCAATATTGTTGACACCACTCACAATTGCTACCAAAGGCTTTGTGAAGATCGGCTTGTTTGTTTGGAATTCTTTTCTTAATCCAATGACAATGACATTTGTCATCTATCCCTCTAAGGGCAAATCTCTCCCTTGGTTCCTTCAAACTTGTGACAAGAACTTTTATTGGCACTAAAATAAAATAAATAAATAAATAAATAAATAAATAAATCGACTTTATTTTACGAGGGTAACACGTGACAGTAAAGAACTGATGAACTTGTGGCCCTCACACTCACACTCACTACCTCTACATTAATTATTTTAGCACACAACACTACTCACATGTTGATTTTTATTGAGGGAGGAAAACCGGAGGACCCGGAGAAAAACCCTCGTGGCAAGGGAGAGAACAACACATCAAACAAACTCAAACTCACATATGGTCCGTGCCAGGAATCGAACCCGGACYAMAGCGGTGAGAGGCCAGTAGCTTAACCACTAGACCACCCTTGCCACCCTAAAACAAAATCAAATACATATCCAAAAAATCAAATCAATTATTCTAAAATACAAACATGTAAAAATTTAGTAGATTTATAATGGTAATTGAAATTGAAGAGGGAGTGCGATTTGTAATTGCAAGTTTGATTTCAGACCAAAATTGCACGACACGAAGTTCAATTACCACTTAATTATATCCATTTTGAAATCATACAAATATAATTACAACTTTTTTCAGTATAAAGTATTTAATTACAGCAATATATCAATGAACCGGTTTGAAAACAGCGGAATCGGAAACGCCATTACAACTCATTTTGTATGCACACGTTTTACAATGGCATTATGTGACAAATAAATTGGGTAAATTTACAAAGTTCATTCATTCATTCATTCATTCATTCTTCGTCGCTTCTTTTGCGGTTGGGGAAATGGCTGATCTTCCTTCTTGTAGGAATAGTGGTTGAAATTACAACCACTGAAAGTTTGCGTTGGAAAACTACTGGCAYTCGTGTTAAACGCTGACATTGGATATTGTTGTGATGCAAATATTGCAGGCTGGAATGGAAAACCAGACAGGAATCCAGTATGAAAACCCATGGACTGGCTTGGTTTGCTTTGCTGTTGAAGATGAAATTCACTAACAGGAACTAGTGGCGCTCTTTTGACAATCGCTTGGTTCGTTGAGACTTCATTCGTGGAGACTTCTTTGACGTCTTGGTTTTGCTTATACCCRCTGATTATGTGAGAGAGGTCTTTTCTTTGGTTCTCATCTATTTGATCATAGTCGTCCAGCGAAGATTCACGGGCATGGCCGGTTATTTCGCAGATAACATTGCGGGGCTGACCAGATTTCTTCAATTTTGCCAMTAGGGTCTTTCTCATACTGTGGTTTGTCAACTTTTTATTTGTAGTCAAGCAGGAAGCCATGGATTTCATGATATTGCCGATGGTGTTTTCTCCCATTCGTACTTTTGTATACCAAATATCTGACGATTTTGGACGATTTATGATACTGAGATAGAGTGGACCRTTGTCCTTCATTCCTTGTGGTCGTTTGGATAACCAGAGCTTGTAGAGTCGCACGGGGTCTCTTTCGCCGCCATCAGTGCTGAACATAACCTGTGGTGTTTTTCTTCATCTGATCCTCAAGCCACCAGTTCTGGTTTTGGTTGGACCTTCTCGAAATTCTATGACTTCGCWACCATCTTCATTTTTTCTGATGACAAGGTCCTCCACGTAGGAGTCATAGTGTTCTTGTCRGCCTCTTAATCCAAGCTGTTCTGTCAAGTTTTTAAAGTTGATGTTGGTCAGCACTCGTCCATTAAAATCGCCTAACTGACCTCTTTCCCATAGAGCTGACTCTTCCTCCGGTGCAAGTGGCTGCGATTTGTTTGGTCTTTTACCCTTGCCTTGTTGGCAGAGAGAAATTGCTTTCGCATGGAGGACTGCTTGACAGTTTTGAAACTCCCTCGTACAATGCTCAGCGGGTAGCCATGCTCTTTTAGATGACGGTCGATGGCACTTTGCATAATCTTGAGRGACTCTGGCTCGTAGTCTTCTCCATCCTTTTTTTTAATCTCAGCGTAGAACTGGGTCAGGATTGTGTCAAGTTGTTTTGGGTCCATTGTTTCAATGTTGCTTTCAAGATGGCGGGATGTGGACCAGCTTTTGAATACGTTYATSCATTGTTTAGTCGAGCGGGAGGTATTTTTATTTACAGCAACGCTCTTCAGTTCTTCAATATCTCTGCTGGAAATGACTGGAAATCTTGAGACGTCAACTTCACTTTGATTTATTGCTGTTTCTTGACGTGTTTTGGTTTCATCGGTGTTGAGATCTTGCGGAACAGAAACTTCAGCAGGATAATTATGTGTATCTTGGCTAAAACTAACACCAAAAGACGGAAAATTCCCAAGAAAAACTTCTTCAGTGTTAAGAAGGTCAAGATCATCATCAAGAAACTGTAAGTGATTAAATTCACCCATTTTCTTTCAACTAAAATGAAAATTCTCACAAAAAAATGCCTTGGAAAAGTGACTAATTTAAACTTAAGCTATTGCTACAAATCACTGTTTTTAAAAAGATATCCACTACAGATTAAGAGTAACTCAACTACGATTTTAACAATACCATGTGCATCACCACCTACATACGCCTAAACCTCCAACTGTGTCAACAAAAATGTCATTACGTTTGAAGTCCGTTTTCGTGGTAGTTTGATGAAACCGGAAGTCGCGGCTCAGTGAGAAGAGACTAGTTATTGGTATTGTAAAGATCATTTCGATCGTATTTTTAATATGAAAGGAAGCACTTCGGAAAGAGGGGCCGACTTCAATTCCCTAAATTGTGAGAACTTTTAATATGATCTTTAAAAATTTGTTGTTATATCATTAGGATACCATTAGGCCTGGTCAATGAAACAGGCGGTAAATGCATGATTGACAGATGATAAAGTACGTTAGCTACTTTGCCCACACCCGCCCTTTGTGAACAGTCACTGATAATTGTTTATTTCCAAGCTATATAAGCTATATAATGAAAATGTAAAAGTTACCTAGCTATGAAATCAGTTTGTTGGATGCTATAATTAAACATCTTAACAAAAATATAATGCGGTAATGATAGGGAAGTTACTCTCTCTTATGAACATTCTTAACATTCCCTTATCATAGTTCATCTATTAACTTTGCCCTAATCCAGGAAATTGCGTACATGTCAAGCTTATCATGTTATTTAGTGAGAAATGGATGATACAATAGGTGAACTACTCTCTACCTATTCTACATCTATTGAAGATCCGCACACTTTATCCATTGAAGATCCGCACACTTTATCCATTGAAGATCCGCATACTCTATCCATTATTGAAGAACCATATTCACTGAGTATCAGTTCAGAAATCGAAGGRACRATTAATACATTATCGKCTGTTGAGGACCTCGACTACCAAGAACAACCTGGTCCTCTGGCAGCAAGTACGCCTTGCAAGAAACGCCGATCGAAAGCAGAAAACATCGATAGCACTCCCAATGTGTCGCACGGGACATGGACAAAGCTCTACGACTGCGGAATGTTCAACAACAACTACTGATAACAGCGAAGGTAATCACATAAAAGACAATTCATTCACTTTTATTGAAAAAAATATTTTTCATGTTAAATGTTAACGACAATTTCGAAGGCGGGCGGGTTTATAAGTGGTAGCAGTCAGCGGTAATACGTACGAATAAAACTATTAATTTGAACTCAAGTCAAATTCCAACGGTGACAACTTCACTTGTACTTCAAGAGAAAGATACTTCACTTTGCTATGGAATTCCCTGTATCAGTATCTTTTAAGATAATTAAAATTGTTCAAATTGATCGAAATTTTACCATAAAAGTAAAACATTCATGTCCGAGTTGAGTTGACTTTGTAAACCGGACGATCGTTTGGATGTGAAGTTTTCCTTGAGAGCTTGTAAGTAATAATTTACCTCTAGCTGAGCATTTATAGCTTTTTGTGTTATCTATGCTTTGTACTAGTAAGAAAGTAACGTTGAGAGTTTTAAAACAAAACAGCTCGTGGCACAATTCAAGCTTAGGACGTTAACTTAGTTAATATCTTAAGTTTATTTATAGGCTAATCTTAAAAAAGCGCTTATGCATCGTACACTGAACAACACAGCTTTATAATCAGTCGAAATTGTAATGAATTTGTTTATGAAAAGTACATTTCGACTTCGTGTCGGTTTTGCATTACTGTCTTCCAACCTTCTCTCGTGTTTGCATCATCGATGTAAACACGGCATTGTTTTAACKTATTAAGCTTAAAAGTTTACGCAATACTACCAACTTGCCATGGTTGGCAAACAGTAGTAGACCTATGTTTTTACATGTCTATCATGTCACAACAATTTTTCTGAAATGTGAAGTCTGCATAAAGCCTGGTTATAACAATTTATAAGTAGCTTTAACATGCTTCTTTTCGCATTTTTCAGTTAAAATGTGCTAGTTGCACTTTTTTTTGATTTGTTTATTTTTGTTAGAGCTCATGAGTGCCCTTGAACATTGCTACACACCTGTACCAAAGTCTGTAATGGTAAASACCATATATGATGTAAAAGCATGGATGGAGCCTCTCACCATCCACAATGTATCAAACCCACATGTTTTTAAACTAACGAAAGGTCAAGATGGAAATGTATACTTACATTATAAGAATTGGGGCAGTGATAAGTCAGAGAGCTGGAAACCAGAAGGAGAGTCYGAAGGACTGAAGTTGTTAAAGGTACATGATTTATAATACAGTGTTTAGTGATTTAGTTACATTTTTATTTCTCAGTACATGTACTACAATTATGATAATGAACCGACTCAAGGTTGATTGAAATTACGTAGATCTATAAGTGAATCGAATATTTAATATGCAAAATTTGAATTATTATAACTGATCTGGTTTCTTGTCATTCTCTGCAGGATGATGCAGTTATATCAAAGGAAGAGGTACCTGATCTGGTTTCTACCAATACAGAAAAGGTTGATCTTGTCTCTCTTAGGAGAGACATGCCAAAGTTTTTTGCAGGGTCTCATGTGTTCTCTCCACAGATTAAGGAGGAGTGGACTGATCTGTTACTTGAGAGCAATCAGCTATGGACAAGTCAAGAAAAACCAGCAACCAGAAAATGTGAATGCTGGCTTTTTAGGAATGAGACCTGAAGCAGTTCCACAAGATCTAGATGAAATGGTTAGAGACCAAGTAGCTCCAATAAAAGAGGTATTTTAGAACAGAAGGAATTGCTGCATGTGATATATTTGCAATTAACACAGAAAAGTGTTATTTTGATTATTTCAGCACCTTATGCTATTTGAAATAAAGCAATAAACTACTTATAAAAACCTGAAATTTGCTATACAATCTAAATAGGTTCTTATACAAATGGTACTTATTAAAGAAAATTTAGGCTAAATAGGATCCTAAAATAGGTTCTTATATTCTTTTATCATATTAAAAATAATTTATTGATTTCTATTTACTAAATTCATCTCTATTTCATTTTAATTGAAAATTTCTAATTTCAAACAAAAGTATGGAAAACTGAAAAACCTTTTACGTTTTAAACAGGTGTACACAGGTCCTTATAGAAGACCCGAAAATGATGTTCAAAGAGTCGACAATTATGACCTAGTGGATATAGGCAACTTGGTTGCTGTAAATTTAGAAGCATATCGCCCTCCAAACCTTGCTACTGTGATAGAGATCCTTGAAGACTCATTCAGAGTCCAGTGGCTGAAAGGAGGCTACAATAAGAAGTGGGCACCATGGCCAAGATGGCCTATAAACAACATCCCCAAAGAGAGTGTGATATACTTTGGCTTTGCACTTGAAGAAGACAAACTAAGCAAAGAAACTGCAAAGCATATCCGAAAGGAATATAAAAAATTGTTATAACTACTAAAGGTATTATGTTAAATCAATCAGCTATCAAAAAAGCAGGTTTATGTTGGTAAAATGGCAAAGTCTCAAGTCTCTAAATACTTCAAAAATAAAAGCAAATGTAAAATATTGATTTTTCTAGCCTTGCTCCTTCAGTTCTGATTTTGCATGTTTCTTTAGAAACATCAATGATTTTATATTTGCTATCAATTCTGAAATATTTATTTTACTTATTTTGTTCCCCTCTTTCCATTTTTGAACATCATTTTGTCATTGCTTATTGATTTAGGTAGGTGTGGTCACATGACTCCCAGCATAATGTGTTTAGAATGTACACTTCATGTTCCTTATAAACTTTGGCTGACTTTCAATGTCTAGTACTTAAATTCTTGTGGTACTAGCTTAACTTACTAAGTAATGACAAATATAGTTGCAGTAATCATAT